CATCACTCTCGGCCCTTCAGACCAGAGTTCGACCGGACCTCTTGTACCCCCCATCTTTCTCCCTTCTGTTTGTAACCCCACAGCAAACTTCGAGCACCTGGGCTCAGTAATAAAGTCACCGACCGACTCAAACTGGACGTAGGGCACGTTGCCTGAACCAGTATAAACCCTGTGTCATTGAGTGTTAGGCCACATCCGATCACAACGTACGGAAAAACTACAAGTTTTTATGGGTTGGTCATTTTCTGCACCGACCCTATGAGTCTTACTAGTATGACATGATCGTGTAGATTGCTATGCTACAGGACTCCGGTAGAAGTCGAGTGATTGCCTGTCACTCGCGAGATATAGGAAATATATTATTGTTGATACTATATTATTATCACCTAGAGTATATATGAATGATAATTGGAGACCGGGCGGAATGGTACTTTGGATCTGGACTAGGTTTGGCATTCGAGCAAGGCTCGGATTGCATTTGTTCCTCCTGTGTCGGTTAAGGACCGGCCGTTGCATTGGGTTCTAGGTAGGTCATAGACTTATTATCCTAAACACATACTTGTGTATGGGCGTGGGAAGACTCATTACTCTCTTGTCATGGATTCTGGCTCTTTCCGGACCGACTGATTGGAGGCGGGGATGGTGGAGGTCTAAGTACCGCACTGAGTCCGAGACTCGGGAGCGGGGGCTTGGAGTCCAAGTTTGGACGGGGACCTGGACCCTGTGATAGGATAGTGGTCGGTTGGTCCTGCTTGTGCCTGGGGTACAAGTGGGGCGTGTGTTTCGGGGTACCCAGCTAGGCACATTGATTCGCGAATTGTCGGCGATCCGGTAGACTTGTGTACAATCTAGCATCGTAGTAAGAACTGGAAGATGAAAGATGGTAAAATAATTCTGATTGCTTACCGCCTGCTTGAAAGTAGCAAATGTGCTTACGTAGAATGGATAGTTAATGAACTAATGCTGACTGCTAATAAAAGTGAATATAAGGATGCACACTTAGTAATGCTTCCTGCAGATGCAATAAACCCACAAGACAGATAGCCTTGCATATCCTTAGAGTCTTTTCTTTACTTCTGTCGGGTAAGTCTTGCTGAGTACAATTGAGTACTCAGGGTTTTATTTTCTCCTGTTGCATGTGATAGGCGAATGCTAGAGCTGAGTCTTGGGTGTAGATTCCTCCTGGTGGGCTCAGAGAGGATTCCTTTACACTGCGATCATAGTTTTATTTATAACTCTCACTAAATGTTTTATAAATATAAGTTTTATAATCTGTTATCATAAATTATATATCAATGCTTCATCATGTCATGAATTGGTGTTTATTTCCGCTGTAACTCTGTTCACATGTTTATATTCCGCCGTTAAATTAAATTGTCATAACTCTGATAACATGATCATATTCCGCTATTATAAACAATAAATACTATACTCTGATGTTGTACTAAAAATGATGTAAGAAATGGTTAATAATGATGTAAACTTTATTCTCTCATTTGTGATCCTGGTGAAAAAATGTGGATTTTCGGGTTCTCCCTTGGGGTGTGCTCGACGGAACTGCGTAATTTGGTGTCCTCCCTTGAGTACTTAGTGTCTAATGGAAGACAAGTACTCCTAGGAGGTATTAGATTAGGTGGTTCTGCCACATTTGTGTATTTTCTTCTATGGTGGTTATGCTTCCGTGTTCGACAGTTAATAGAACCGTTTGGGCCTGGAACTAATCGTGCACTCTAACAAGTACACATGCATCTATTCCTGTACGCCTCCTCGACTCAATCTCTATGGATATCCGCTGCGTCTAGGCCACACATCTAGTTAGAGTGCACAACGGAATCTGGCCTAGCTCGCTATACCCACGAGCCGGCACCCCCCGGGCCTAGGTCCACCGAAGCCCACAACATGTCCAGGCCTTAGGCCTAACTCAACCTAAAAGACTAGCCTGATAGGTGAGGGCTGCTCCTGCCTTATATGTCGTGCTCCCAAGTAAGCAAAATCATTTTCCTCTCAGTGTATGATGAGAATAACTCCTTCGGTGTTGCATGGAACCAGCTGGGCTGGATTCCCCTGCGCACTCTTACAAGCCCCGTGTGATTCCCGGAACTCGCTGAGTTCTGGTCTCTATAAAATCATGGAGAGTTCACGGGATATTGTAGATCAAGCTGGTGGTTCGTGAACTCGAGTTTGCGGCGGTTGCTGGAGATCTACGGGCGGCGCTCAAAGCTGGTTGATTTCGTCGTGTGCAAGCGACGAGACAGTCGACGGGGCTTTGCAAGCGGCGTGGCTGTGCATAGGCGGTGTATGACGGCGGCAGCATACGGCGGATTTATCACAGAACGTGCGGGAAGCGTGTGCTGCAGCGAGGAACAACCGCGTGGGTGACGTGCTTGGTGCGCATGGAGCCAGCACGCGGGCGTACATAAGGTACGTGACATAAGGTACGTGATTTTTCGGCAATCTGTGGCAACAGGCAGATGGCGTCTATGACATCCAAATTTGAGGTGACGAGGTTTGATGGCACCGGGAACTTCGGGCTATGGCAGACGAGAGTGAAGGATCTATTGGCTCAACAGAGTATCTCGAAGGTGCTCAGCAGGATTAAGCTGGAGAAGGTAGATGATGACAAGTGGGAGGAGATGCAGACGCAGGCATGTGCAACTATCAGGTTGTGTCTCTCTGATCAGATCATGTACCATGTCATGGAGGAAACTTCGCCGAAGAAAATTTTGGAACAAGTTGGCCAGTCAGTTCATGTCCAAGACGGTGACTCAGAAGCTGTGTCTGAAGTAGAACTTATTTGGCTTGAAGATGCAGGAGGGGTCAGATCTTGCGGAGCACATCAACATCTACAATCAATTGATTGCTGATCTTGTGAAGGTCGAGGTGAAGATTGATGATGAAGACATGGCTATTATTCTTCTATGTTCGTTGCCGAGGTCTTATGAGCACTTGGTTACTACGCTGACGTATGGGAAGGAGGACATCAAGGTGGAGGACATTGTTGCTGCGTTGCTTGCTCATGATCAAAGGAGGAAGAATAATGCAACAGAGGAGTCTTTTGGTGATGCTTTCCTAGTCAGGGGTGATCGTGGTGTGGAAGATAAGAGGGGCAACAAGAAGAAGGGGCCGCGGTGCTTTAAGTGCAAGGGTTGGGGACGCGACACGCGGCTGCCCTCTTCCTGTCGTGCAGCCGCTGCCTCCCCATCGCGTCGTGCAGTCGCCGCCGTCACTGGCCCGCCGTCAGTGCCGTTACCTCCGGTGAACTCCAGATGCGATGAGCCTGCATTCTCCCAAGCAACAAGAAGATGTTACGCTGAAATCACATGTTGCAAGCGTATATTTTAAGTGTTTCAGATGTTTTAGATGTATGTTGCAAGTGTTTCATATGGATTTGCAAAGGTAGATCGGGATGTTGTATATATTGCAATGGTTATACACGCATTTTGTAAGCGTCTGTTTCAAATATTTCATCTATTTTTTCAGTCGTATGCTGCAAATATGTTTATTTGGATGTTGCATATGTTTCACGCATATGTTGCAAATGTTTTATATGGATGTTGCATATGTTTTGCAATGGCTTTTAAGTGTTTTTGTAAGTGTTTCAGACACATGTTTCAAGTGTTTTATCTATTTTTAGACGTATGTTGTAAATGTTAAATCTGGATGTTTCAAAAGTAGATCAGCTGTTGTACATATTGCGATGACGCTGGACAACCCTCCGGCTCCTACCTCACACGTCGCGGCGCGCCTTGCCCTCTCCTCGCCTCTCCCTTCTCTTCTCTTCCCTCCATCTTGCCGTGGCAATTCCAGCTCGACCTGGACGCGTAGTTCGGTGGCGCTGGAGGGGGATGGGACGCGGGGCAGGGGCATGGTGTGATGCGGGCGGCAGTTCTGCGTCTGGAGTTCGGTGGCGCTGGAGGAGGGATGGGACGCGGGGCAGGGCATGGTGTGATGCGGGCGGCAGCTCGTGTCCAGACGGGGCGAGCGCGTGGATGGACATGGGTGCGGCGCGGGACACGCCGTCCGTCCTGGCACTGGCCTTTCCGTTAATAATAAAAGAAAGAAAATGAAAATCTGACGAGCGACGAGGACGTTCACGTGGTGCACGTCCGATGGGGACGCGGAGCCAAGCCCCACCGAATATCTGCATAATAAGCAATTAACAAAGTGATCTAAACGTAGGTAGCTGTCACGGAGCTGATCTGTTCTGAGGCGAGCAGTGACGCCATGCCGAAGCAAACGCAACGCTACGCAAGTGATTTCCCATGCCTTGAAAAATCCAAACTAAAATGTTTCTGGAGACGGGATATTAATAAGCCCGTTATTAACCCTATATGCGATTCATCCATTGTTCTTAACCGGAGACGGGTAGTATAGTAGTTTAAAATTCAGACTGTATGCAGGCATGCAGCTGAGAATTAATGCACATCATCACCATTTCCATCTTTTCTGAATGCGGGTCCACATATCACTTCACACGAACGACGCCTCCTCGCCGTCTTCAAAGAAGGCGCCGGTGACCCCGCCTTGCGGCAGCAGCGCCACCTTCACCACGTTGCCCGCGCCTTCCTCGGGCGTCAGGAGCCCCGAGTGTAAGGTTATATCAGTCTTGATGTAGCCAGGATGAACGCAGTTGACGAGCAGCGCCGGTTGCTTTGCCGCCAGGATCCTCGAGTACGCGTTCATGGCCGCCTTGGCCACCTTGTACGCCGCAAACGCTGCTGGCCACCCACGCTCGTCAACCTCGCCGGCCTCAAAGTCTTTCAGGAACATGTCCAGCAGCTCGTCCAGCCTCTCCTCGGTTAGCTTGTCAACGTTGTACAGCTCTTGCTTCAGCTCCTCGTTTCTGAAAAACTGCATTTGCAATCGCAAGAATTTTTTTTTTCCCGTTTCAGCTCATCTCTTTGCAAATAGTACAAAATATAAGATGTCTTGTACTACATAAACATAATGTGTTGGGATTGGATCAGAATTTGGAGCAGCGAATGATCAAAAGAAGTTACCCTAAGGAGCCCAAAGTCGGAAGAGACGTTAACAATTATTCCATCAGAGGATGCTTGGAGCAGAGGCAGTAACGCTTCGATCACATGCTTCGTGCCGTAGTAGTTTGTCTGCAGGCCTTTCTTTGCGGCGTCATAAGTCTCCCTGGTATTTCTCCACAACCATTCAAGCCTCTGATCCCTATCCATGCCACTTAACTACCACACGCATCAACAAACAAACTTGTTCAGTTTAGCCTACGAGCAAAATGTTCAGAAAGCACATGTAGTTCTTCTACGTTGCTCCGATCCAGATGTGCAGGTTGCTGCCTGCTCCATCGAACCATCGAGCAGAGCACACTAAATAGGTTGTATGACTATACACTCAACCAACTAATACCTCCGATTAGCTGAAGATGTAGATCGAGCTCACCTCTTCTTCGCTTGTTACTGAACCATCAGCAGGATCCCGGGCGTATTCCACGCCACCAAATGCAGCATTATTTATCTACGTACAAACAGAGCACCTTCATCAAGCAATCATGCAGCATCACCATACCTGCCACAGCAAACCTTGAAAACTTGGAAAGAAGGCTTACCAGAATGTCTAGCCTCCCAAAACGGGTCTTCAAGAAATCGGCTAGCCTAGCGATGCTCGATGCATCTGTGATGTCTAGCTGGTGGAACATGACATCGGAAAGGCCCTGCTCTCTGAGCTCCTCGACGGCAGCCGCGCCCCTCGTCTCGTCCCTAGCTGTTAACACAACGGTGATGCCATTCCTGGCCAGCTGCCGGCACACCTCTAGCCCAATACCTTTGTTTCCGCCGGTGACCACAGCAATCCTAGCAAATCATGCAACCGTGATGACTCTGTAGCACAGATCAGATCGTAGCGAGACTAGTACATGTCAAGAGTGAAGTGCATACCTTGCGCTTGGGAAAGTAGAGATGGCTCCGTCCATGAGCGCGCACCACGAGCTCTGCTTCTCTGGTCAACCTGGTGGCTGGTGCTGTATGTATGCGTAGGTCTTATCAACAAGCTAAAATAAGTTGAGGATATATGTACTAGTACCTCTCAACTTTATACTCTTTAATATTGTGACAGTGGAACCACAAGTGGCCGAGTTCAGATGGCTGGTTCACATTGGGCATGTCTAAAAGAGATGACAGGACAAGTCCCTTGTTTTTAATTTTTTTTTTCTTCATTTGGGACAAATCAAGGTGGCATCATCAGATCGCATATATAGATATAAATAAACCGACCAAGCCTAAAGGAAGCAGCTGTCAGCTGCCGCCATCATTCAGAACCAATAACAAAAAAAGGTAAGCACTGAAGCAAGCAGAACCAAAAGCATGAAAACAATTGGTCTGTTCGCTGGTTGATTTATAAGCTGATAAGCCTGACTGGTACTGATTTATTGTGAGAGAAAAATACTGTTGGCTGGCTGATAAGCTCTGACTGAAACCAACAAGCGAACAGACTGAATGTTCCCAAGATAGAACGCAGGAAAGCCTGACATAGCTTTGAATATTCCGAATTGAAATGACACTAGTGGTCATTAAGATGAGGAGCAATTTAAATTTTCATGTAGTGTGAAGCTGGACATTTGTATATATGAGAAGCTCTTTTACATGATATAAGACTAGTCTATTACGCGCGCCCTCGCGCGCGTCGGCAAATCACCTGATTAAGGCGCATGTAAAAAATATGTTTAATATTTGTATGAAAACAATATTATGAGTTTAATGTAGATATGTCATGCATAGAAACTGAAAGATTGGAGCTCTTTTTATATTTAACATGGTAAAACTATTCAGAATTCCAAACATGAAATGCTTGATGTGGTAGATCACATTTCCTAGCAAAAACATAGAAGCCAATGCAATAAACTATTTCAGGTCTTCACACTGCATGAGAAATATTGTAAAGCTTATGTTTTCACACCGACCATCAACCATGAGTATTGATGTTTTTTCTCTAGAGTCACATAGAGATTAGAAATTGGAGGAAGTAAGAAAATGCCATTTACCTTACCCGTGTATTTATGTCTTCGTGGTCTACACCCATGAATTCCACATTTAAGCCATCAGTCATAAATTTAGTGGTAAGTTTACGTACAACAGCTCTGGGAAAAAACAATTTTGGAATAAAAATAGTCAAATTGTGAATTGTGATGAGGCATCTGAACTTGCTTGAATATTCTAAATCCATATAGAAGCAACTAATTAACTATTTCCAGATCTCAACATCCTACCTTCTTCATTTATACAGAATTTTTAACCTCTTGTTAAAATAAATATAACTGTTTCATAATCCATAAGATCGTGCTACCTTCCTGCTAGAAACTTGAGGTACAAAAGGTACTCTATCTGTAGACAAATATATCAATGAGAAAATTGTTCTATAAAGCAACTCAAACATCTAGATAAATGCTGATTTATAGTCTCGGCACAGACGTAAACAGAAAGACAACTTGAGGGGTAGTTCTACCTGTATCTCTGAAGCCAGAACATAGCAACATGTACCATTTGAGTATCAAATCAAATTTGAGGTTCATCGAATTAAGACATGAATGTATCAAATCAAATGTTTATGATTATGTGTGCTCTTAGGAGGCTTCCAGCCTGTTTGGCGGGTGGCACTTTGCCACCCTGAGCTCACGACAACTGCAGCTGAAGTGTAGAAAGCAATATCCATGAAAACATATGAAGATGCCCCAGAATAAAAATAGCATAAAACGCAAACAGTGATAATCATGAGTGCATATTCTCAAATGGTATAGCTGAGAAGAAGATAGTTGGTGTCAAGCAACATTGGCACTGACATGTGCGGGAAAAAATTGCAAAATAGCAATGGCATGTAAATATTTTCAGGTTTGACATATATGAATACCTCACTCGCAATGATAAAGCAAAAAATCATAAAAGAGTGATAATCATGACCGCTTCTTGCAGGCCGTCCATGTTAGCAAAAATCACATCGTATATTTCAGATAAAGATATTTGTTTGCATCATCAGCATTGACATATGTTCAACCAAAAAAATGCAAAATAGCAAAGGCACAAAAATATGTTCAGGTATATTAAAGGCACCTCACAGTCATCATGACATCATCAGCAATGGCATATGCTCAGACTTAAATAAATAAAACAGCACCATAGTCACACACTTATAATCCAGAAGAGGCACATAGAGGATACTGCAATGGGATCAATACAGAGTAGAGGGATGGTCTTGCTTCACCTGGGAGATGCCAAGAAACGAATGCAACAGAGGGGGCACCACGGTCACAACCGTCGGAGCCAGCCGCGGCAGCGCAGCGCACAGATATTGCAGGTCACCAAGTAATAAATTGCCTTCTTAGTAAGCCCAACTGCTAATTCATCATTGGCAATGGCTTGTGTGCTCAGTAATAGAACAACCGATAAATCGTATGAAGCAAAGACATCATTGATAATGGTTGTATACTGACTAACAAATGGATAAAATGTGCAAGTAATATAACGACACAGTCACGACAAAGGCACCGAAAATAGCAAGATTCATGGAAGAATGAAATAATTATATAATCATCGCTGCACAATTCTATTGTCTCAGTCTTTAAAGAATCATCATTGTTCAATCCCCAAGCCTCAGTAGATGACATGAATGAAACAATTAATCATCAATGTACAAGTAAGGACATCAGTTGGGAAGCGGAGGGAAGCGGAGCACCGGGACAAGACGCGTAGGAGGCAGTAGGCAGCGCCATCGTTGGCCCACGGTTCTCCACCATGGCACCAACGGCCATGGCCTTCGGAAGGTTCTTGCCTGCACAGATCGGATGGGAGGACAGACGGATCCGGCCATGGAGGCACCGGATCCGCCGGTTTGGGCCTCCGCCAGCAAGGAAGACCGAGCCGACAAGCGTACATCGACGTCTGAACCCGGCGCCGGGGAGGGAAGGGGAGGGGGAGGAAGGGAGAGAGCGAACCTTAACCTGCGCAGCGGCCGGGCAGCAGAGGCCAGTGGCCAGGCCTTCCACGGAAGTGTCGGCAGCGGCGGCGGCCCGCGTCGCCCCAGCTGTGCGCACTGGCTGCCGTCGCCCTGGCCGCATCGGGAGAGAGAGGTAGCGAGCGAAGAGGAGAGAGAGGGGGGAGGGCACGCCGTGGGGGGGGAGGGGGAGGAGGAGGAGGGCGGCCGCAGCTGTGCCGCCCCGCCCGTGCGCTCCGTGCACCGTCGCCATGGTGGCATGGATCGAGAGAGGGAGTGCGAGAGAGAGAGAGAGAGAGAGAGAGAGGAGAGGAGGAGGGCGTCGGGGTCAGGGAGAGACGGCGAGGGTTTCGTAGCGGAGGCAAAGCACTGTAGCGGGCGGTGTAGGCAATATGGACCATCGATCGCAGAATCGGACGACCAGGGGAATTCGGGGCGACGTGGCCACCCTGAGAGGCGGCCAAAGTAACCTGCTTTGATATATTAGAATTGGTGAGTACCCAACAATTTGCTTGAGTATATTCAACAACTCAGAAGCACTACATCTTGATTCTGAATCCAATTTCAACCAATTTCTGGAGGCAAACAAACAAGAACTGGCCATGTAACTTCTCACCTATTTTCTGCTTGTGAACATGTTCACCTTCACCCCTAGAGAAGTCAAAAAGACAATGCATCAGTATGCTCCAAAGTAGTAGCTTGTAGCCGCCACACGCCCACATTCACACGGGTACCATATAGGATATCGAGACAACCCCCCAAAATAAAGAAGCTACAGCTTCTTTTCTTTTTTTTTTGATGAAAAGAAGCGACAGCATATTAATGCCCTCTCAAGGACGTTTGGTTCAGCGCCTTTTCACCTTGTAATGCTTAACAGTGCCATCACTTTACAAGACTTAGGTCTTGTTTAGTTTCTTTTTAAAAGTTTACACCCTATCTTATTGAATATTTAGACACATGCATGGAGTATTAAATATAGACTTAAAAATAACTAATTACACAGTTTGCGACTAATTTACGAGACGAATCTTTTAAGCCTAATTAGTCCGTGATTTGACAACGTGGTGCTACCGTAACACAAATGACGGATTAATTAGGTTTAATAAATTTGTCACGCGGTTTACTGACGGATTCTATAATCTATTTAACACCCCATGCAACGTTCCATGTGACACCCCAAAATTTTACACCATGGATTTAAACGCCTTGATGTTGGGTTGTGCAAGCACCTAACGACTCCGGAGGGACTCGTTGCAAGCCGGTTCAACGCGGATGCTGCTCACCTCCGGCCGTTAAATGATTACGCGCCATTGCTTTGTCCAACCAAACAAAATCCGGTAAATGAATCCCACCATCGATCCCCCCCGCAATCCATTTTCATTCCCGTTGCCATTACCAGTTTGCCAACCAAACACTACCTAGTGCGACCAAATCTGACAAGCATGGTTCATTGCAAATATACAATCATCACCAAACACTTCCTAGTGTTGAGCTCTACAGTTTGCTCAACGTGCTAGTTTGAGTACACAAGTCTAACTATAATACTTATTGGCACTAACTGTTTTATAGCTCTTTCTTTTATTCTGAATCCCGAAAGAGAAATATCATCACACAAAGGATGCCTCGCCATTCAGATCAAAATAAGCACTAGTTGGTCCGTCGACAGGCAAGAGAGCAACCTTCACAGGGTTGCGAGCACCCTCTTCAAGTGTCAATACTCCCATGTGCATAGACATCGGTCTTGACATAACCAGGTGTCAGGCAGTTTATACGCATTGTAGGATACTTCTTGGCAAGAATCCTAGTATATGCATTAAGGGCTGCTTTGGCAACTTTGTAGGCTGAAGAGCCACCTGTTGGCCACCCATGTGCCTCTAGTAAGTTGGCCTTGAAATCTTCAAGGAACAAATCCAGTGGTTCTTCCAGTCTCTTCAGTAAGATTGTCAATGTCATCAAATTCCTTAGTTCTTCACTGTTAAAGTGCTGCTC